AGAGAGTGAAACGATAAGAGGCGAGTTTAATTGCTTGAACGGCACAGGAAGATCAACTAGGTGTCACTGAGAAGAAGGTTAAGTGTTTGCCGTTAGACGTGGGCGCAAGTTTCCTGTAACCTTCTTGTTCAGCCACGGCATCTCATTTTTGAGACTGGTGTAGAGTTCGGTCTAGTACAGTTCTGTGTATCGCTTACTTGCGGATGAGCCGGCTTAAGGCGGCTTATGGACAGACAGCGGAAGCAGCCAGGGAATTCAGTTAGTTTGTCAACTGACTGTCCTCCGATGGACGATGCAACTCATATGTGCTATATAGAATGAATCGGCTTGACTGCCTTGGTCCTGGGGTCGCTGACGCACGTCTGGTGGCAATCATAGTTCAGTATGAGAGAAACCCTCCTCGCTAGAAACACTGGTCGTGCCCGTCCTGCATTACGAGTGTGAAACCTGGACTTCTTCGAAATTAGACCTCAGAATGTTCAGTTGTTCTATACGAAACTGGCAGATTGCATAACGAGTACTGAGGTGAACAGACCAACCAGCCTATTCAAATGAAAGTCAATTACTTTGCAAGAAGAACAACTGTTCTCAAAGGGGTACTGCATATGTCAAAAGAACCGCTGACTCAAACTTTTATCTGCATGTAAACGATCGCGCGGATGCTCGAAAAAGACACGGTAGCAGCAGTTGCCTTGGGCCTCGATATCTGTTCGATGATATGTATTTCTATATTCGAGAGTAGAGTTTTTCTGAATTCATTTATTTCTTCATCAGCTCGCATTTTCATTGATTTTCAGGCTATCAAGCAGCGCTATATAACCCTGCTGGGTGGAACATGCTTGGATTTGGATGCTATTTGGTGTTTTCTAACGGTCGCTTATTTTTGCTAATTGTTCCATTTGATTTTTCTTGTTCCATGGCTTTTATTGTTCTTCTCTGTTGGCCGAAGCAGTGATTATATTTAATCCATTGCCATGTGATATTAGTCAATGCCAACTGTTCCCGTTTCTTTCTGAAATAGAGTTCTTATTTGTGTGCTGAAAAATAGCCTTCATTGGTGATGCCATTCCAGTAGTGAAATCTTGGTTTTAATTTTGAACAGCAATGCTTTTAACTTATAGAGAGCACTTTTCAGCATTCTTTGCTGAGATCTTGATCTACTTTAGGTGCTCTGATGATGAACACTGTGGCGTGTCGGAAAAGTCAGAAAAATGAACTTCATTCGCATAAAATAGAAAGATTTTCTGGATAGGACGATTCGACAACGAATCGAATCTGAATTATGTAAGATATTAACCGATTTTTGTTCAGAAATTTCCGTTGCTTTTTATAGTTCTCTTACCCATTTGACTTGCTTTATGTAGGCTTCATTCCTGCCTCATACCATCTTTTAGAAGGGCAATAACTTTTTGAGGTCTGCCCGATCAACTAGTTTTTTGTACAAAACTTTAACATTTCTGGGCAAACTCCCATATTACATAAACCGTTTGTGCTTGCTGTAATATGTTTCAAGCTTTGGGGATCCTGATAACAGCCTTTATTTGGCGTTTTCGTATGTAACACTGATCGTTTACATGAACGAATCCTGCAATTTGATACTATATTTATTTGTAGGTTATCATTAATGTTATAGTTGATTTACATACTTGCATATAGTTTCCCACTTTTTATTCATTTTTTTAACCACCTTGGCTTTTGACTCATGGCTGCATTTCTGTTCATTACACCTATTCGTTTTTGCTTCCACTGACGTCGTCGAAGATATCAGATTCCTAAGGCATTCTAATCTACTGCTTACTATAGCTATCGGGCTTGTTGGCTTGGTCCACATGTATTCTTGGTTTCTTCTTGCATGTGCTAGCATTAATTTAGCATCTTGGTTGACAAAGCTGCTTAGACTCCTGAATTATTCTTATTGAAATGTTCATTCTTCCTCATATAACTACATGGTTTCATCTGGTAGTGCGATGCTTTCGTTTTGAATAGCCTTTAAAAAATAGAGTTATTGTTTCTTCTTCGAATACTATCGAGGCACCGGTTTGAAGTGTTGCTCTGATCCTTTATAGCTGTGTAAGCAGCGTTCTATTTCAATGACTTCTGTCCTCCTTGGCAGACATAAAATAGCACTTCATGACAACATTATCCTTTTCCTTCGAGCACTGCTACGGTAGTTGTCACACCTACAATCAGGAATTAAAAAACAGGAAGGCATGAAACAGTGACTGCGCGCCAGCTTCTCGCAGTGTCTCTGTTTCCTAGTAGCTTGGTAAACCTGTCAACGACCGGTTCGGTACAGTGGTGTTTTTTTCACAGTCCATTGCGTGCGATCGTCTATTTATCGAATTTAATACGGCCTTTCGGTTCAAATATTTCCAGCTTGAGTGACCTTATCCGAAAATTTTGCTAGCATAGCTTTGAGGTTACTGAGGTTCTACTGCTTCATAACTATATGCGGTTGCTATTGTTACTATTTGCCGACTTTCCAGGCGTCTCTCAAGCCAGTTGTTGAATTCAATTGCTTCTGTACATGAGAAACCTGCCCATGCCCTACAAGCTATAAAACTGTAGAGCTTAGTTAAGTGTATCTCTTAGTTAGGTAAAAATGACAACGTAGAAGGCCAAGACCGTTTGTCAGCTCAATAAATCACAAATGTTGGATGTCGCACTATTGTGTAACGAAAGAAATACTAAACATATAAAGTATGTCTGTTTTATTTTTTTTACTGAAGATGTCATAGTTTATTGAACTCGCTATCTCGCTATCCAGATAATTAGAAAAAAAACTGTGACGGTTCTCCAAACGTAAGAACGCTTAATCTTCATTTTCAGATGCCGAGACCTTGAACTGACTTTCAAATTATTCCGTATGCAGATGCCCTTCAGAATCTCCAGCAGGGAGCCCCGTGCACAAATGATCATGAAAAAAAGGCTTCTGAGACTACAAATCAGTGAAACAATGAAACGGATAAACCATGTCCTCCAGAAAGTCAATCATATTGAAAAGGTGATGCAGAGGAAAGCCTCCACCCAAGACTCTGGCAGCTTAGTGCAGATCTCTTGCACCAGGACAACGATTTATTTACACAAGACTGTGCAGTACACAATATTTACAAGAAATGGAATAAGCCTGTTCTTAAAGAAACTATGAATTTTCGTTAGTGGACGTGTTAACGGTTTTTCTGCTAACAATGACAATAAAGCCGTTATGCAGTTCGTGTAACGTTTTGCGTAGTAGAAACGAATTATCCCTCTTTCGATGGTAGGCTATTCCAACAGTCCAAGTGGAAAACAATAGGTAACTCACTTTCTCACAATTTTAATGAAGTATTCGGAAGTGTGAACCAGGACCACGAACCCCGGCTTGTTTCAAAAAATCTTTACATGACACATGAAAGATTGTTTTTACCATCTATCTCAATGGAAATGAAGATAAAGTGCAATACCTTCCAATAGCCTCTCACCTCGAAACATCGAGTCAACCATTGTTTGGATGATTCATGGCTTGGGGTACCAGCAAATGGCAACGTTTACTGACACATCGTTTAATGACAACGCGTTTCACTGAACAGACCGCAGCATCATCAGGCTGGACAGAGTGCAAATGTCTGCTTTAAGGCATTTATGCCCAACAGGCGAACAATACCAATTTTTCAGTTGGCTCATTACATACAGTCAAGACGTTGTTAAGTAGTCTGAACAAAATATAATGTTCACACCAAAATAGATCAGATTTTCAGCATTTTGACTAGATTTTGCGCATCAGTATCATCATTCGTTGCACTTCCGGTTTTCATTGCCGGTATATGCAAGGGCTCCTTTTTCGGCAGACTTAATTCAGATAGGTCTTTGTCTGTAACAGACACATTGGTCTGACTGGAAGAATGTCCTTAGGTAATTGAATGCTGGGCAATACCGGGACTGTCAGCTTGTCAGTGCTCAGAAGGTGCTCTTTTATATGAATATTCAATTTCAGGTTGGTCTTTTCAACGTACACCTTGTCGTGGGGTCTGCACTGAACTTTGTGTACAACGTTTGACTCATCTTCAGAGTTATTAATGGACAAGTACTTTTTAAAGAAAATGTTGCCCAATGTTCTGCCAGTCTTGTAGTAGACTCTAAACCTCATGTCGTTGACGTACCTCTTAGCACCACATAAGATACCTGAACGGTAGCATTAACACTGGTCCACACGAACTGATCATCTTGAAGATTGAACTGGGATGCAAAAGTTCTTCGTCAAGGATCCTCCTTCGGTAGCCATTCTTTAGGAACCCTT